TTCTCCCCCCCCCCCCCCCCCAGTTGCAGGGGCGCTGCTGGAGCTGCAAAAGCTGCTCGGGGCGTATGTGGAAAAGAGCTGGTTTTGTAATTACTTAGTGTAAATCCTTAAGTTGGCCTTAGCCTTAGTTTCTATAGCAGAAGATTTATGGTGGGGTAGTTAAGGCTCTATTACCACTTCATTTAAAAAACATTTCGGAGTTTATAACTTGACTAGAGAAGTTTGGCTTCAGCACTTTCCTTCTTGATGTAAAGATTTGACCCCCCAAATGCAGTAACATCCGAAATGTCTCGTTCGATTACGCTTTCTCCCCCTGGCTTCTGCCCAGCCTTGATTTTTTTTTTTTTAATTTTTTTTTTTAATGCCTTTTGGCAGTGATCAGCCTGTAACATGTTATTGCATTTGGTACTCATCAGCGGGAATAAAGTGGCAGATGCTTCAGTTCAAAGTCTTTGTGCTTCGTAATTGCCGCTTGTCAAGGGACCGTGTGCTCTGCGGTCGGTGCGACTTCCACAACCCACGTTCCACTGAAAGGGCTGGAGTGCCGCGTAGGTGCAAGGAAGATTGAGGAAATAGGGGAAGATGTGGTTAAAAATGCCTCTTAAAGCCTATTTTGGAGTAGGCAGTGGGATCCTTGGAGCTTCTTTGCTGTACCCAGCACTCTTCTAACGGCCCTGTTCATGCTCCCCGTCCTGGAAGCTGCAAGGACAGCTTACGGTAGGGTCCAAGCTGCCCCATAGTCAGAAGAAATGGGAAGAGGGGAAGCTGAGCTGTTGGTCCTTTCTGGTGGATCTAAAAGGGCCCAGGCACTGCCCTTGGTCTCAGAAGGGCAGAAGAGCATCTCTTTTGGGGAGGTGCAGGTGGCGCTTCGTAACAGGAGCGCGTGTGAACGTGACGCGGGAGGGAGCTGGAAGGAGAAGGCCGCGACGGTGAGAAAACTAGCCGGCGGGAGGAGGTCGAGGGCGGGGGAGCACTCATAGGCTGCCGTTTCCATACGGGGGAAAGAATGGGGGCTCGGAAAGCGTTTTTGACTGTTTTATATTTAAAGCTGTTAGGAAGTCGGTGCTGCGATTGGCGCAGAGTTCTCTTCACCTGCCGTGGGTAGCTTGGGCCAAAGCGGCAGGCGGCGGCAGGGTCTAGGTCCCCTGGCCCTGGATCTTACAACCGGGGGCCGGCGGGGAATGGAGGTTGGGATGGGGAAGCTCCTTCTCTAAGCACGCGTGCGCCTTGCAGGATTAAGAGCAAGAAGGAGAACCAGCGCCGGGTGGAGGAGCAGAGGATGCAGGAGGCGGCTGACCAGCAAGAACCCTCCCCGGGAGAGGGAGCCTGTGAGACCCTGGCCCGACTTAAACTGGAGGAGCGGGGAGTGAAGGAGATCAAGGAGAAACAGCAGCGAAATAAGGAGCACGTGAGGTACGGACGGATCCCCCCCTCCTTGCGCAGAGCCGGGTGTTGCTGGCAAAGGTGAATATTTTATCCCTTGCAGGTACGTCGAAGCTCTAAGAGCCCAGCTGAGGGAGAAGATAAAACTGTATAACATTGACTTGCCCCCGCTCTGCTCCTGCGGGTCCGATTTCTGGGACTCCCACCCGGATACCTGCGCCAACAACTGTGTCTTCTACAAAAACCACAAAGGTAGGTTCCCCCGCTTCTGGAGAGGAGGCGCCTAGGCCGGGATCCCCGGTTATACGGGGAGAAATCAAACGTGGCCGGATGTTTCCGTGGTCCTGGGCTGCTGTGTAGAGACGTTCCTACAAATATACTCCAGAGGGGGGCAAGTCGGGTGCTCTGCTGCTGGTTTCTAACCCAACCTCTTCCTCTGTCCCTTCGGGGAGCTCAGTGGCACCCACAGCAAAGCACCAGCCTCTCTAATACGTGGTGGTAGGGGGAGAACCGTAAGGAAAACGCTGCAAAACAGGCTCGTTACGGGCACAGATAAACCTCTTCGCCTGAAACGCTGAATCTTCTGTTGGGAGGATGCAAGAAGGGGGGGGGGGGGGGGGGGGGGGGGGGGGGGGGGGGG